AACGATTAAATTTTAATAAATACATTGGGTATTATTTAATTAAGAATTAAAATTCAATCGTTGAGTCGAATTTCTCCCAATTCAGTGCTAATTGTAAGTAAATAATTTTATTTCTTAGAATTGTTCAAATTGAAAATCAAACGTTAAGTGCTAATTGATGTTCATTTCAATTAAAGATTTAATCATTTATATGCAAATCTGGTGCTGTTTTCTTATTCCTTGAATAATTGCATTTAGATATATCTTTTCTGTTTCAGTAAACAAGCCGTGTTCGATGGAAAAAAAGCGATCAGAGGAGGCATTCCATTCGTTTTCCGTAAGTATTTATGCAAAATCAAATCACTTAAGGTTAGGCTAGGTTAAGTATGAGCCACAAGATCTCTACCAAAATATTAAGAAATGTGATAAAAAGCTATATTCAATATTATGTTCAATATCCAAATATTCGAAAACTGTTTATCCAATTTTTTCCGGAAGTCAAGTATTTTTACAAAAACCGCTATTTCATGGAAACGCTACGTAATAGAGCAATTCTGATTCTGGATTTGTTTCTAGCATGAGAAACTGTGCATGAATCAAATAATGAATATTGCAACAAATGAATAAAGTTTCTTTTGTTGGACTTTGTAACTGTTAAAATTTGAATGCTTTGTCATTGTTTTTATATAAAAACCGATTTCCGATAGCGACACGACAAGACAGAATATTAATGACAAAAATATGGATTTACGTTATTCGATCCAATATGTTCATTTTTTAAATAATTAAGACAAAATTCGTTTCGTTCAACATATTTTACTTAATTATACCAACTTCTCCTTTGAACGATTTATCTGTAAAATTAAAGATGAGATGAAAAGTAACTTAAGTGAAGATGAGAATATCACAAATGTTCTAGACTTCTTTAACGAAATGAATCTTCTAAATTCTTGATAATTGTTTTCGTCATTTAAAAACGATTAATTTTTATAATTTAGAATTCATTGTGTACGCATGCAATATAATTATGTGATTAACTTGTACAATTACACTGGTGGTCGTTAATCACTGTGTGATGCGATCATCTAAAATAAAACTAATAATTAAAAAAAAATTCGTTTTAACGTTTGAGTATTGAATATTGAAATTGTTTATGTTAGTTTTATTGGAAATGGGTATAGTAACTTTTCTTTTAAGATTTAATATGTTCACTCTAAAGCTGTCGAATTCACACTGAACGGAACAGCCCCTATTCCTCATGCTCAAGAGGTCCATCTCCCATAGCCGTTATCGCTTATTTAGAATACGGCATGGAGATGTGTTTATGTCTATTCAATACTTTCTCCGAAGCATGATTCCATAGGAGTAAACTTCCTTTATAAGTTAAGATATCTTTTATATAAACTTCCTGAGGAAGTGTTAAATAAAGGATTGGTTTTTGTATACCATATATCTATA